GTTGATTGGGATTAACACAATAGGTCTGGGCCAAACTGATGAAAAACAAACGCTGCCATGGATCATCAGTAAATTCCGGCTGCCTGCCATAATAATGACGATAAGTTCGATAGGCCAAATCAGCAGCCCCAAAATCCCCAATACATTCCGCATCGGTGCGACCTCTCATACTGCCTGCCATTGTGTTATTATAAAATCTACTCAGCCCATAATAATCGATTTCGGGGAAATATTTGGCCATTGTAAAACCCAATGAGGATATTTTAAATAGCGGATCATAGCTGTGATGATATAGAGGTGTCTGCAGCAGGACAAATGGTAAGGCCAGCATTTTCCTTGCATAATTATAGAATGGTCTTCGGTGGTATTGATCCAAGCCGCCATACACCATGATATGATAATACGTCTCCTTATTGTGTATGTACTTGATGGCACGATGCCTTAGGAGGTGGAGAAAATTTTGATAGAAATTATCCGGCTGCAGGTCGGGTATGTCAGCAAATAATTTCCTCAGCAAGGGAAGGTAAAAACTTTTGGGTGCATTTTCCACATTCAGTTCGGATGCCGAGCAATTTGATGAGGTGAAATCTGCAGGTGGTGGATTGTCTTCGGTAAGGTGTTCGCACAGCTTCGAAAAGATGCCATAAACATCGTTATCATAGATTAATTCATTGGGTCGATAATAATCAAGATAGAGCAGATTTAGGGGTAGCTCCAATTTACCCCGAACTTCGCGAATACAATCGAGTTTGGTGTGGCTCATATCGTTGCGAGCGGGAAGTAAATGCCTCAACATTGCCACCATAATGTAATTACAAATATCCTGTTTTTCCCCCTGGGACCATTTATACTGCCTTAGCATTTCGAAATATTGCGGAACTCGTAACTCAAACCGCTCATCGTCTTTGATGTTTTCAAATAATTGGGAATTTTCAAAATAATTTTGTAGATAAGGAAATTTCTGCAACAATTCGCCAAATGTGAACTGTTGGGCGCCATTTTCACTATATCCTTGAAAACGAAATTGGCGACTTAAATCATTTAATTTTTGTTGTATTTCCACAAGACGTTGAGTGTAATCGTTTCGCAGTTTTTGATTAAAAATCAACTCCCCCAGCACCGTGGAAATGTCATTTTCCGTTAACGTCAAAATCACCTGAGGTTTTATGGAGGAGAAATTCTGCTGGCTGGCGTCCTTGTAGGTTATCAGTAGGATATGATCCAGACCATAATCCAATAATTTACCCAGCAGAGCAAATATGTCGAACCTGTCCACGGGCCATTCATTTTCCTCTTTACCTCGCATCACCTCCAAAATCGGCCATTCCAGACCCGTTACAGCCGGCTTAATAATATTCAAAATATTTTCGATGGCATTACCACGGCCTTTGGCCCTCAAACATGAACGATAATAGGTGTGGGTTATATTGAAAAAATCCGTATTCAGGCTATCTGCTCTCAGATTTTCCGTTAGGGTAATCATTTTCAAATTCATTTGATGATCCAACAGGGCTTCATAATTCTGCGAGAGGTGAGGCCAATTATTACAGGCATAGCCATAGAAATCGTAGCAGGGATCAATAGTTTCATCAACGGCTAGGTGGATGTTATGAAGATGAGTGCAATTGAGATCTGAGGTTGTATTCAGGTGACAAAGTTCTCCACTAACCGATAGATAGAAATTTAGAAGAAGAATTGCAATTAATTGCCACATTGTTCGGATGCTGCTCAGCGGACGAGAGACGAATAACAACTGAAGTATTTTTTGTTTGTATAAAAAAATGATAAGAGTCATACCTGAATGAACTACAGTAAGGGGCAAATGTGGAGATAACGATTTGAAAAAAATAATACGCCTTATATAGGCATTGATTTTTTTAAAAAAATATTTTTAAGGCCTATATAAGGCATGGATATTTTAAATAATTTTTTTCAAAACCTATATAAGGCATGGATTTTTTAAATAATTTTTTTCAAGGCCTATATAAGGCATGCTTATGTCCATTACTGTAGATAAGACTTGTCGATTTGTTTTGTTTTTTTTCAAACATGGATTGGGAAGCCTCAATTCTTATCTCTAGCTTACGGGAAAATGAGAGCTTTAAATGAATTTATTTTTAGATTGGAAAATACGCATATCAGATATTATTTTCGATTATTAATAACAAAGTCTTTGTGGTATAGATTATCACAAAAAAGACGCAGACAGATGGTTCTAAGAAAAGAACCTGGACCTACACTCTTTAGAAAGTAGCAAAGACGGCTATGTCTTCAGAAGAGCACTATACCTCCAAATACGCAAAAATAAAAAAATTCTTAAAAAATTCCAGGCCTTTGAATTATCTCTGAAAACAATATTCGACAAAATTTTTTAATATACGCCTACGACTTTGATGGTCCTTTTTTTAATCATCACCTCTGGTGGTCCTTAAAAATATTTTTTTTAACTCAACCCCCTTCTGGGGGGTCCCTGAAAAAACATTTTTGTTTTAAAATCGACAAATCTGGAGGTCCTTAATAATATTTTTGTTTAAAACTACGCCATTGATGGCCCTTAATTATACCCTTCACCACACTGTGAATTAGGTCCAGAATGACGTGTGCCATATAGCTCCCATATATAGTATCGTCCGATTTAAGGTAAATGGGTCACCAAAGTCCCTATATATCTTTCGATTTGCACGAAATTCGGCACAGAGTAATGAATTAGGTCCAGAATGACGTGTGTCAAGTTTCGAGAAAATCTGGTCAGATTTATATATAGCTCCCATATATAGTATCGTCCGATTTAAGGTAAATGGTTCCTATATATCTTTCGATTTGCACTAAATTTGGCATAGAGTACTGAATTAGGTCCAGAATAATGTACGCCAAGTTTCGAGAAAATCGGTTCAGACTTAGATATAGCTCCCATATATAGTATCGTCCGATTTAAGGTAAATGGGGCAGCAAAGTCCTTATATATTTTTCGATTTGCACGAAATTTGGCATAGAGATTTAGATATAGCTCCCATATATATTTTCGTCCGATTTAAGGTAAATGGTGCACCAAAGTCCCTATATATCTTTCGGTTTGCACGAAATTTGGCATTGAGTACTGAGTTAAGTCTAGAATGACGTGTGCCAAGTTTCGAGAAAATCAGGTCAGATTTAGATATAGCTCCCATATATAGTATCGACCGATTTAAGGTAAATGGTGCACCAAAGTCCCTATATATCTTTCGATTTGCAAGAAATTTGGTATTGGGTACTGAATTAGGTCCAGAATGTTGTGTGCTAAGTTTCGTGAAAATCGGTTCAGATTTTGATATAGCTCCCATTATATTTTCGTCCGATTTAAGGTAAATGGGTCACCAAAGTCTCTATATATCTTTCGATTTGCACGAAATTTGGCAAAGAGTACTGAATTAGGTCCAGAATGATGTGTGCTAAGTTTCGTGAAAATCAGTTCAGATTTTGATAAAGCTCCCATATATATTTTCGTCCGATTTAAGGTAAATGGGGCACCAATGTCCCTATATATCTTTCGATTTGCACGAAATTTGCCACAGCGTAAGGAATTAGGCCTAGAATAATGTGTGTTAAGTATCCTGAAAATTGGTCCTGATTTAGATATAGCTCCCATATATATTTCTGTCCGATCTTAGGTAAATGGGCACCAAAGTCCCTATATATCTTTCGATTTGCACGAAATTTGGCATTGGGTACTAAATTAGGTCCAGAATGTCAAAATTTCTTGGTTCAGATTTACATTTACATATAGGTGCACTAAATACCAATACCTAGGCCGATTAACAAAACGTACTGAAATTAATAAAAACCAGTGAGCGGAGCTGTATAGTCGGACGGGGCCGACCATATGATACCCTACACAATTTCCATGAAAATCTAACTTTCGGTGGTTCTATGTTCTCAACTTGGGCAATATTTCGCGATATTTGACCGACTAGAGGTCAACAAATATTACTAGTATTCATTACAGCCCTTCTAATTACTTGTCCAGATTCCCTTCACCGTGGGTTGTGTTGTGATGTTCAGCTTTCAATTGTGGCCTGTAGGTCGACTCACAAAAACAGAAAAAAATAAGTTTTCGTTCCACTTCATCGCAATATTAATATCTTATCATCCCCGAAAAGAACATGCGATGACCTTGACCATACCTGGGTCCTCGTGGAAAATTTCAAAGCCCTCTAGTGTGATAATGGGATACTAAATAATATATGAATACTTAAGCACCTGTTAATATTTGAGTGTAACTCCCACGTCCGAGTACATACGACCATATAATTGGTATCAAAGTCAAGGTCAACCACTCCTCTTGGATATTCGGCCAACTTCTCGGATCTATGTCCTTCAGGAGTAAATATATACGCTGTATAATACAAATGTTGACATTTTTCACAGAAAAGTTAGGGTCCATTTGACCCGCTAAATATTGATCAATCTTTATCAAAACAGGCATGCTTATTCTTTGGCCCGATCCCCTTCTCCGTGCAGATAATCAATGGGTGCCTGATTGATCCATTTTAAAAAGTAAAGCATACCAAATAGCGTGTGTAAAGTTTGCTTTAACTCTATTTACAACCTATTCCGGGTTGCAGAATGGCATGTGTTGGAACTGATGTTAGTCGGTTTACTTACTGTTTACTGTCAATGTTCCTTTGAAAAGGCGACGTCTGTTAGGATACATATGTATAATATCCCCAAAGTGGTGAAGGGTATCATATAGTCGGCCCAGTCCGACTTTACTAATTTCCATACTGATTTTTTCTTAAATCACCGCCTTTAGTATCCATTAAAAATAATTTTACAATATTTTTTAAAAAATCAACTCCTCAGGAGGTCTTTATAAAATATATTTTTTTAATCTACACTTTTGATGGTCCTTAAAAAGATTTTATTGCAAAATCGACACCTCTGGAGGCACATAAAAATATTGTTTTTTTTTAATCCTTGCCTGTGATGAACTCTAAAAATATAAAAAAAGAATTTTTTTGATGGTCCTTGGAAAACATTTTTTTTAATTCAACGCCTATGGAGGTCCATGTGAAAAAATGTTTTTTAAAAAATCGTACATATGATGATCGTTGACTTCATTCATATTCCCACTTCTGGCGTTTTGTTGTTGTTTTTAATTCTTAAATAATCTCTATCAATGTCCTTTTTAAATTTCCATAAATTTCATGAAGTCTCCAACACATCATCTCATATTCCACAACACCTCCTCGCCCCCTGCAACAACACTATCAACCACCCGGATAAATATGAAAATAAATAAGTGCGTGTTTTTGTCATTCAGCCTTGAGCTGAATAACAAAGCAGAACAGCTGAATAAAGAAGAAGAAGAAGCGGGGCAAGAAACAAAATAATGTTGACATGGTATATCTTCCTGATGATTTATGCAAGATTTCATAACAGGACTGGATAAAGTTTTTGCATTTTCGAAACACTTTACGATTCAGTTTTCTTTTTCACCGCAACCTGTCGAGTCAGGTTGTTATCGACACACATATGTATAGATAAATATGTATCTGTATTCGTGGTGGAAAAAATATCTTATGTTTATTTTATATATTTTTTTTAAATCCACGCCTCATAAAGACACCTAAAAAATATTTTTTTAAAATATCCACGCCTCCTAAAGACACCTAAAAAATATTTTTTTAAAATATCCACGCCTCCTAAAGACACCTAAAAAATATTTTTTTAAAATATCCACGCCTCCTAAAGACACCTAAAAAATATTTTTTTAAAATATCCACGCCTCCTAAAGACACCTAAAAAATATTTTTTTAAAATATCCACGCCTCATAAAGACACCTAAAAAATATTTTTTTAAAATATCCACGCCTCATAAAGACACCTAAAAAATATTTTTTTAAAATATCCACGCCTCCTAAAGACACCTAAAAAATATTTTTTTAAAATATCCACGCCTCCTAAAGACACCTAAAAAATATTTTTTTAAAATATCCACGCCTCCTAAAGACACCTAAAAAATATTTTTTTAAAATATCCACGCCTCATAAAGACACCTAAAAAATATTTTTTTAAAATATCCACGCCTCATAAAGACACCTAAAAAATATTTTTTTAAAATATCCACGCCTCCTAAAGACACCTAAAAAATATTTTTTTAAAATATTCACGCCTCCTAAAGACACCTAAAAATATTTTTTTAAAATATCCACGCCTCATAAAGACACCTAAAAAATATTTTTTTAAAATATCCACGCCTCCTAAAGACACCTAAAAAATATTTTTTTAAAATATCCACGCCTCCTAAAGACACCTAAAAAATATTTTTTTAAAATATCCACGCCTCCTAAAGACACCTAAAAAATATTTTTTTAAAATATTCACGCCTCCTAAAGACACCTAAAAAATATTTTTTTAAAATATCCACGCCTCATAAAGACACCTAAAAAATATTTTTTTAAAATATCCACGCCTCCTAAAGACACCTAAAAAATATTTTTTTAAAATATCCACGCCTCCTAAAGACACCTAAAAAATATTTTTTTAAAATATCCACGCCTCCTAAAGACACCTAAAAAATATTTTTTTAAAATATCCACGCCTCCTAAAGACACCTAAAAAATATTTTTTTAAAATATTCACGCCTCCTAAAGACACCTAAAAAATATTTTTTTAAAATATTCACGCCTCCTAAAGACACCTAAAAAATATTTTTTTAAAATATCCACGCCTCCT